GATCCTTCTTTTTTCTTTTACCTTTGACCTCTTGGCCTCATAGCAGACGCTATCACACAATACTGTTTGAAATCTAAAATAAAATGCTTTTAGACGTTTTCAGCCAATCATGTTCTTTTTGTGTAATTCAAATGTTGTAATTAAGTCAATTTGACCATCAGAATCAAACTGCAAAAACATCTAATAAAATATACAACCAAATATTTTGAATATAAAGATAAACCCACTGAGCGTATATGAAGAAAAACTAGTGTAGTTATTAACACTTTTTAGCTCCTACAGATCCGGAGATCTGGAACAAAGCAAAAATGCACACCAAATAAAAGCTTCGGTCTTAGGAGTTTAAATTAAACAAAAGCCAATCAAATATACTATTTTAGTGATTTGGGGAGAGATGAAAGTGAAGGAGGGATGACTAACTGAGGCACTTCACTTATTTTTAATGATTTCCTCTTTTTTTACACAGTTTCCCGTCCATATATGGCTTTTTTAAAGTGTAATTTACCTGGTAAGAAAATCTTTAACCGTTTTATTATTATTTATTTGAACCGTTTCAGTTTTTGTGTCGATTAAAGCGCCGGTTATCCTTTTTTTTTCTTCATGAAATTTGGTGACTTTTCCTCATCTGGGGTCATGAACTTGTGTGTGAAATCTGGTCACTTTGGTGTGTAGTGGGGTGTCTGTGCAGAGTATGTATACAAAGATGATGTTGCGGGTCATTTTGACCCGGACACATTAAAACCTGCTTCATTTAACCTTTTCTTTAAGCCCAGAAGGCGTCCTGCGGTACCTGTGTGCTGGCATCGAGGCGGTAGCTCTGCTGCATGGCCCAGGCTGAGATCACGTTGAAGCCTTTGACCACGAAGGCTTCTGGCAGCAGAGAGGCCAGATACTCCGCGTTCGACTCCGGATACTGATTCACCCTCCTGTTGTTACTCACATCCACCACCACTTTCCCTGCGGAACAAAGCAAAGCCTTTTTTTTTTACTTATCCGGGTTAATTGTAAATGTAGTTTCTGATGCTGCAGCATTGGAGCCAGTAACACAAATAATCCATAGAAACTGATTTAAAAGAACTATCTGGCTCTGTGAGGAACACTACCACAGGGTGTACAACTTTTTATACACAATGCATAACAAATAAATCCCTAAAAGTAATTTTCTGGAGGCTTCTTCAGTTCCCGCTAGATGCTATAGCCTTAAAAGTATCATAACTTCTTATTGAAGAATATCAGCATCTACACTGAAACTACATAATTCCTCTTTGGGAATAACTAAAGTAATGTTTCTGCCCATCTGTTAAAGTACTAAATTATTTGTTCTAAATTCAACTGCGGGGCTGGTATCTAAAAAAATAATAATAATAATGTGAATTGAACACATTTAAATTGGGACCATACAGTAAAAACTGAATGGAACAACAGTAGGTCACTCCCTTTACAGTATTATATGAGACTCCGGTTTATTGGTTTGGTTTTTTAACACAGAAATAGCTGTTCCTTAATAATTGCCCCAATAAATGCTCTCTTTTAATATGTGTTTATGACCAGAGGAACCACACAGCTGGTTCTAGCTTATAGGTCAGGTGATTTTGGTTAAACCGAGGGCCTCAGCTACCAACCAGGTGATTATTGATTCATCCACTTTCCACCACACTTACAAGATCTCACCAGGTGTTAAATGGCTTTTAAGCAGCCCTAAAGGTGCTTTTCTGTCCCTTTAGTAAAAGAAAACGGTTTTACGTACCTTCCATTAAATGCTTGAGGTCCCACAAAGCAGAGTAGTGCTCCCGCCGGATGGCCAAGAACACTATTCCCGCTTTTCCCACGGCATCCTCATAGTGGGTCACATCCACCACGTGGGGGAAGGCATGGGCGGCCATTTTGGGCTGGCGGCTGCCCACCACCACGCTGAAGCCGCAGCGCAGCAGCCGGACGCTCAGGCACCGGGAGAAGTCGCCCGAGCCCAGGACGGCCACGGCGGGGGGGGCGGGCGGCGGGCGGGGGGGCCCCGGGTCCGGGGCCCTGCTTCTCACGCCGCTCAGCAGCACGCAGCTCTGGGGGGGGGGTGGAAGTGGTGCAGGGAGGACGGCGTGAGGAACAGGGGACTCCTCCTGGAGCCCATCATGGAGACAGAGTCCATCCTGCCTTTCTCTCTAGTTCTACCTGTGATTAGGACACAAATCGTTAGGCACAAGGAGGTCAAGAACAGGACAAAATGGAACAATATTTTAATATTTTAGCTCTATTATATTAAATTTATTGCCTACATAATCACAACTGAATATGCATTTTAGATATGTTGTATCTATCTATCTATCTATCTATCTATCTATCTATCTATCTATCTAT